ACATTCCACCAGAGGGTTTTCACTGTGTTGTGACGTTCACGACCTCACTCGGTCCAGGGATGCAATATTCGCAGTTTCCCAGTAGTACAGGAGCAGATGCTGTCACTTCCAGTGTCTCCCTCGGAATCACCCTTACAGGGGCATTGGCCCGTCCATCATCTCCTTGACCAGGAGGTGTGCTCACTTGTAGTTTTTCCAAAACTGTCTCTCGGAGCTCCATAGCTGCTGCAGACGTCCTCACGTTTTCATTTTCACATCTCTGATTTTCCAGGGTTGCTCTCAGGTTAGTTACCTCTAGGGCTGCAACTAACGATTATTTCAATAATCGATTCATTGGCCGATTATTTTTTTCGATTAATCGATGAATCGGCAAAAAAACCCACAACGTTTTAATTTCCACCCCTTTATTCCAAAATTGAACATTTGACTGACATAGCAATTCACACAAAAAACAGGTTGCTATTTTACTATTCTGTTAGTAAAATATTGAATAATAAAAAATAAAAGTTAGTCAAATAGCTTGAAAAATAAATGTACACAAAAATATATACAAATGTATCTTTATACCTGCACAGTATGTAGCTACTTTGTAAAATATGTCATTGAGGGAAGAGTGTAACCTGGATTAAAAGTGTGGATTATTGTAACCTGGATTAAAAGTGTGGATTATTGTAGTGAAGCCTTCGTCTTCAACCATGGACAGAGGCCTCGTGTCAGTGACGATCATGTTCAGGATGTTTCAGTGAAGACAGCTGCTGCTGTGGTGTCCATGATGTCTGTCCATTATGAAGGATGTTGTTGTTTGTTGTTGTTGTTTTCTGGAATGAGAGAGTAAATATGTATTATATTATAATTTACAGCAACTCAAGAAATGCCTTGTTTCACTTACAGCGTTAGGTTCAGGCCAAAGTAGCTAAAAGAGCAATTAAACACACACGCACGCACGCACACGCACGCACACACACACACGCATGTAAAATACTTAATTACACACATTTGAGTAGATTTAATAAATTACTTTAATTCCTGTTTAAATGCAATTCATCCTGCCATACCTGCAGTGTCTTCAGACTTTGCCAACAAATTAAAAGTTGAAGCTTAATCATTAAATTATTATCTTTGTGTTAGATTTATTTATAAATCACATTTAAACACTGCTTGTACCAATTAAATTAAATAAAAAGTAACACACGTTCTCTATCACCGTCATTAATCAGATAAACAAACAAACAAACAAACAAGCAGCTTCATCTACCAGAGAGACTGACGTTACGTTTTCTCTCTTGAAACAGAACAAAGTGTTAAATTGTAGAGACTCACCTGCAACACGAGTTGGAAGTGAAACATGTTGTATCTGCTGCAGCTCCTTCCTCCTCCTCGTGACTCCGACATGTTTACGTTTATCTCCGTGGTCCTCCCGTGTCATGTCGGCGATTTTCAAAGCGACAAGTTTCTCATTTTTTATCTTTGTGAAGTTCTCCCACTCTTTGGAGGACTTGGGTCGAACAGTTTTCGCTGCGTCGGTCATTTGTAAAATTTACTTAAATTTCCTTTGAAAACAGCCTCTACTCTGCCTCCCCCCTCGCTCTGTTCAAGTCGCGCTGCAGTTTATTTTTTTTTCAAACTTTATTCAGTCAGTCAGCATTGACAATGAACTGCCCGTGAACAAAACGAAACGTCTCCGCAGCGCCGTGAAAGATGCATAATCGCGCAACACAACGAATCGATAACGAAATTCGTTGCCAACGCTTTTAATCATCGATTTTTATCTATTTTATCGATTCGTTGTTGCAGCCCTAGTTACCTCCCATCTCAGCTGTTGAACTCTGCTGAGTAGCGCAGATGCATCCTTATGTTCAGCTAATCTTTGATATTATTGACGTCCTTCTGAGGTCCCTTGTGCTTTTAACAGCGTGTTGAAGTTGGACACATTTAAAAAAATATCCGCTTGGACTCTTCGATCCATTCAGAGGAGAAATTATTTGACACCAGCAAAACAATTTCATCGGTGGCCAGAGTTCTCATTTTAACTGCCGCTGAGGGTCCTATCCCAGTGATTTCTGGATAAAGTAGATGCCATTTCCTGCATTCTGGTGTATTTTACAAAGGTTTATTACAGTAGATTAACATGAAACAAAAGACGTAAAGTCATTATTGAAATGACTGCAAAGCGTTCGTAATGCAACACCGCTGCAGCTCTGCAGGTGAGGGACGTTCACTTCAGGACAAATTGATTTTGCTGATTGGTCAGTTGCTTATTTGTCAGTTATAAACATGAACATTAAAAGAAACAAACATTTGAAATATATCAGTCTGTGTGTAACAAATGAATATACAAGTTTTACTTTCTGAATGGAATTACTGAAATAAATCAACTTTTTCACAACATTCTAATTTTATGACCAGCACCTGTATTTCAAATGTACTTTTAATCACATTATGTGTGATTTTTAAGTGTATTAAGTGCAGGATCACTTCTCATTTAATGAGTATATCCCTCACCGGGGTCAGCTGAGCCTCGTCCTCCTCCTCCCTGCTCCGCACTGATTCACACACCAGATTGTACAAAAAGCACAGGAACTGATGCATCGTGCAAAACTTTAATTATATTTGTGTTTTTTAATATAATTTCCCATGACTTTGAACTTTTAGGGGCGGAGATTTTTTTTAAGCGCAGAAGCAGAAATGCAAAGGACCAGCTCTGATGTGAATTCAAAAAAGTTCAAGACAAAACCAGCTCTGATGTGATATTAGGAAGCTTTGTTTAAAATGATAGTTTTATTTAGTTCATAGTTTTACAGTCACTCTTTGTCAGGCGGGTTGAAAAATATGCAGTGACCCTTCAAATGCGCAGAGACGGCCGCGCGCCTCCTCCTGTCCTGTCTGCTCCAGACCAGCAGCTGAATTACTCCCCCTGAACGGACGATGTAGAACCAATCTGCGCATGCGTCTAACAGAAACTGAAACTTACCACTTGTGTATGTTGACCTGCGTCAAGAGTGACTCATTGACACATGTGGTGGACAGAATCGGGTGATTTTTCAAAATAAAAGTTTTTTTTGTTGTTTTTTTTCTCTGGGCCCGGTATAATTTGACCCACCGGCCGGTACCGGTCCACGGCCCGGTGGTTGGGGACCACTGACCTACAGGACTAGACTGAGACCATTTAAAGGTCTTTGCAGGTGTTTTGAGTTAATCAGCTGATCAGAGTGTGGCACCAGGTGTCTTCAGTATTGAACCTTTTGTAGTGGACTAGGCCTGATGTCGAAACCTTGACCTTAGGCACCTTGTGGGACAGAAACTGTCATTTCATTGATTTGAATCCAGAAATACAGGTTCATCCATCCTGAGACTTTCTTTCTTGAAAATTCAAGTGAAAGAACACTCTCTTTTCTATTATCATTACTGTTTTACAAATGTTTGATAATCAAAGTGTTTTAGTTCAAACATTTTAGATGTTACAGTGAACTAATCAATTTTATTAACTGTAAAACAGTAACAATGATTATTTTTTCCTCATGCAAAGTTAGAATTCATGTTAAGGCCTGTTACAGAGTAATTATGCATTTTCTGATTTCCTGTCTTTGAATGAGCAGTGTACGTTTTCCAAGGTCAGGAGTCGAAGCAGACAAGTGTTGGAACAACTGTCTTGTTTTTAAATCCTCTCAGACGTAAACAGAGAAGTTGGCACCTGTTTCTCCAAACTCGCCCAAACATTTCTCTCGCCTGTCTGAAAAACAGTTTCAATCTGTTCTATAACATTCTTGCTGTTTTTCTGACTTCTAGTAACCTCTTACGTCACAAACCACACCCCTGTCTGGTCGACATTGACCAATCAGGGACTCCCAAATGAACCGGAAATAGAGCTCTTTAAAATGTCGGTACTTCCTAGTTCTCCCAGTTCTGTGAAGTGGCAATTGGGTGAAGCTGTGAGTTCTGTGAGCAGCAGTTCTGTGAAGTTTCAGTTCTGTGAGTTGCCGTTGGAGTCGGGCTGGAGAGTTTGCAGCTCCAGTCGTTTGGGAGAACAGAAGTCCAGCCATGATAAGGCTCTTCCGAGATTGGGATTATAACATCTATTCCCTCTGAGTGGAACTCGGACGAACCCCACTCATGTGAGGTCCACTGGCTGAGGTGAACTTGTGTCAGACGGGATATCGTCACTACTTCGGACGAGTCACAGCCATCCTATGGAGACGCTGGACAGGTAGCGTTAACTGGAACTCCGTATCTGCTGATTCATCTTCAGAGAGGTAACGAGTCAAGTTCACTACCGAGCGTACCGAGGAAAGCTGGGTTCGAATGGAGAGTGTCGGTTCTGGTCAACACTCTCCCTCACACACCATCTTTTACTCCCTTTAAACTTCATTTTCCATCTTTAAATTCTTCTATCAAGTAGAAATCATTCCAGATATTTTAGAAATGTCTGTGTAAAGTGCTCATCCACCGCCGTGTGGATACTTGATCATAATTGTACAGCTCGCTGATTAATTATGTTGTTATTTTCATATTTTGCCAAATTAATGTAAATGTTTGATGTGTTAAACTTGATTCTGTTAATAAATGACCCACTGTCGTGGTGAGTCAAAGATAATTAACGTCTCACGTCCACATTTCATTAAATTCAATGCACGTTTATATTCAGTCCAGAAAAATGAAAGAATCCGTTTTAATTGATGAATATATCTCAGCATCTGTTCATCTACACTTTTCACAATATTATAATTTTCTGAGATACTGAATTTGAGGTTTTCATTAGTTGTCAGTTATAATCATCAACATTAAAATAAATAAACATTTGAAATATATCAGTCTGTGTGTGTAATGAATGAATATAATATACAAGTTTCACTTTTTGAATGGAATTAATGAAATAAATAAACCTTTTCATGATATTCTAATTTTATGACAGGCACCTGTATACTATGGATGCCCGTGATCCGTGTATGTAAACTTCTAAGTATATTTGCTTTTCTCAGTTATTTTTTAAATTTTATTTTCAGGCTGACCTGCAGAGGGAACTTGGTGACAGGGGCTACATTGCCTTTGGTGTCATCCTCTTCATATGGGAACTGCTTCCAACCAGCCTGCTAATCCTCATCCTAAGAGTTCGTAGACCTTCTCAAGAGGTGAGAAGAATGTTTGAGAGTTGTGACACATGACTGTTTACTAGTGAAAGTGTTATAACAAGATCTGCACACATCTTTTTATCTTTCATTTCCCATACAATTCACAGACCAGAAGCATGGCCGTCAATAACAGGGTCCTTCCTCGTCCGTATTTTTTTGATGACCCTCACACTAGTGATGACGACATACCTGCCCCATGGGATCAAGAGTCAAGCCATAATTCAAGGTACTGCTACTACAAATACGTTCATCCATCCAGCCATCCGTTATCTTCTGCTTATTTCAAAGTTGGTTGCGGGGGCAGCAGCTTGAGCAGGGAGGCCCAGACATCTCTCCACAGCCTCTTCCAGCTCTTCTGGGAGACTTCCAAGGCGTTCCCAGGCCAACCGAGAGACATAGTCTCTCCAGCGTGTTCTGGGTCTTCCCCCGGGTCTTCTCCCAGTTGGACATGCCCGGAGCGAGGCGCCCAGGAGGCATCCTTACCAGATGCCCGAACCACCTCAACTGGCTCCACTCGATGTGGAGGAGCAGTGGTTCTACTCCAAGTCTCTCCCGAATAACTGAACTTCTCACCCTGTCTGTAAGGGAGAGTCCAGCTACCCTGCAAAGAAAACTCATTTCACCCGCCTGTATCTGCGATCTCATTCTTTCGGTCACTACCCAGAGCTCATGACCATAGGTGAGGGTAAGAATGTAGACCGACTGGTAAACAGAGAGCTTTTGCCTCAGCAACAGCCAAGGTTGCACACCGCTTGGCCCTCCAGTACTCCTCAGCTGCCTCCAGAGTCCCACTGGCCAACAAGGCCCGATAGAACTCCTTCTTCAGCTTGACAGCCTCCCTAACCTGGGGT